TTTGTAACAGCTGAAAGCCTACTGACTGCTTAAAAGTATGAGAACTGATAGCTGCTAAAGTTGCCTCATCTTTATTTGTGCCAACAATAAGTACAGGACACTGGACTGAAGCCAAACAAATTATTTGACATGTAAAATGTTACTGAGACTCAGATTTAGTACCTGCCTATTTAACATTTAGCTCCAGGTTGTTTATATTTATGAAATGCGTTCCTTCAGACTTTCATTAGGGCTGATATTTCACCTCCAGGGGTTTTTCTATTTCACAGAACAATCATTTGTGGACATGAGAGAAACCATGATTCAGAGCCAGCTATATAAAGCTTTAAAGGGAATACTCCCTGCAGAGATAATGAAGAAATGCTGAGACTCAATAACTCACCGGTGGACTAATTCACAAATTCTCAAACAACAGTGACTTATGTTTTAATATAATGCATTATTCAGCCGCTGCATGCTTTTAACAGAGAGGTATTTTTGTTTCTAATTGGAATTTCAAGGTAAACAGGAACATAGAAGCAGAATTTCTCCTCTTGCCAGCAGACTACTCAGTGATTGGCTCGCTTTATTCCCAAAATATAATTCACATCTTTGGTCGCAACTCAAGCTTTTCTCATTTAACTAATGAATGAAACTCATCCCGTCTGAAATGTTTGCCGTGTAAGCAGCTCCTCTGACTTTGGGTTACCATTCAATAAATTAATTAATTTTATTCACAACGATACAAGTACAATTGGAACACGTCAATAAGATCTCCAGAGCTTGAGAATAAAGGCCCTAACACACTGAACATAAAGTATTTACAATATTAACCTATCTAGAAATTGAAAGCGTTACGAGCTAAAAAAACATGTTACATAAATGATCTAAAAACTAATCCAACCCATACCACTAAATGGCCCAAAACATTACTTTATTATAATTATTTCAACATAGATAAGATACAATAAACACAGATACAAAACATTGAATACATTAAAACCCATTTCAGAGTAAACTAGAAGTCCCAAGCCTTTTAGTACTTTTAAGGTTTGACACACAGTATTTGTTAACAACAGTGGTGGTTCTAGACATATTTTATTTGGGGGGCCATTCTGGTGCCAGCCATTTATGAGAGGGACAAAACAGGGGGACAAAAGAGACAAAGACGGTGTTCAAGATTTTTTTTAAAACATCAAATACCATGATTGGTATTTGTTTTAGTAACAGAATTTGGGCAGTAACTTACTTACAATTGTATTTAATTATGTTATACAATACGTTTTTTTACCCTTTTTAAAAATGCTTTTCATGTATTCAAGTGGAAATAAGTAAGGATAAGGTCACAGTCTGTTGTTGAGCATCATTACTAAATTAGATATTAAACCAAACAGCAAGCACAAATGGGATCCGGCGGCTAAATACAACATGTTGTTGTGTTATAATTAGGGCACTATTATAACCGTGCACATCAGAATAGCTGTAAGAGATCATCAGTGCTACTGATGGAGAAAGAGAAGCAGAAGCTGGGGAAAGACAGTTATCATCGAGCACCATTGAGAGCGTTATAATTCAAAGGCAGCTGTGGCGTGAGGGGATAACATCACATTAATTATGATAAAGAGGCGATAAAGAGAAGATGGGTCGATGGAACGGTGGAATTAATTATCCGTGTCGGCTTCCTTAATCGCCAAACTTCTTTTTTATTTTTGTCTTATCTTTGCATGAAACATAAATCTTTTCCTTCACATGTACGCACTTAGAGATCCGTTATTATCCTTCCATTATCCCCTGTGTCTGTGTTGAGGTTGGCCACACCACTTCAATTAGTAAAGTCACTGTAAATTAACTTGAAGGACCAACTGCTAAATATTTTATAAGAGTGTCTCCCACCACCACACCCATCTCAGAAAACCCACCACACTTAACCCCACTCTGCCTTTCCTTCCTCTTTATTCCCTGTCATCCTGCTGTCTGGTTGCACTCTTGTCTCTGGAATGCTTTTTAGGGGCTACTGAGGGTTTGCGTGCCAGACTTCCCAAACAAACCTAGTGGGACTGTGTACATGTGCTTATTAATAATCTACGATCCTGCTGTTGTGACACAGTTCCCAGCTGGAGACCTCCAGATGCTCTCTGCCAGCAGGTGGTAAGAGGTTTACCTTCCTTGACCTACAACAGTGTTTTAAATATGACATAAAGCTAAATTAACTACGACAACTGAAAGGATTTTCCTATCTTATTCATTCATTTTCTCTTTTATCTTGCATTCTTAATTGGGTTGAATGAAAGGGCAACCTCTGGGTCTGTCTCAAACCTGCATTCTCTCTAATGGCCAGCATGGGCGAGCAGGTATCAGGTACAGTAGGCTCCACTCTTTTGTATATTTTCTACGTCCAAGAAACCAAAATGTCAAACTTTAACATATAGTCAACAAACCAATAGGTAACATCACGGTACATTAATCTCTCAAGTACGGACCTGCTTTCGATATTTGTTTTCGCATTACGATGACAGATGCACGTTATCTATTAAGATGTAACTATCAGAAATAGGGGTTTGGCAGTCATTTTGCAAACCCTTTATCGTCACTTTCATTGTTTTTATTTTCACCAAAATAAAGACGTTGTGGCTGTCAAAAACCTATCATTTCTATTTATTGCGTTGCAAATCGAAGGTCAAGAAAAACATTTTTTCTTAATCTTGAATGTGGCGTAAGCAATCTGACATTATTGTGGAATATTTGCGACACAAAAAGATTGCGTTGGCCAAAACGCTTAACTCAAGGCTTTAAAACCATGTTACGCAAACCAATGGGTGACATCACCAAGGATTAGCTCAATTCTGAAATATATCTCTACTCAAAACATATTTGTATGGTGTTTCCAAGAGCATTTGTGAGTTTGAACTAAAGACAAGCCGCTGCAGTGTGCCTCTGGCCTTTTTCCTGTTTCTCATTCACACAGATCTACTCATTAATATTCACACATATCTCACGGGTCTGCCTATGTGCACTGACCAGCTTCAGCAGCTTCAGCAGCTCCAGGAGCAGCTGGAGGTGAACTGAACCCAGTCTCTCCCTCAGTCATTAAGTCACTTCATAATTCACACTCCCACACAGGCACTGTACCACTCTTCTCACTTTCACTGCTGCATTTAGAGGGATCTCCACCTTTATGTTTTGATATCTGCTACTGGCTAAAGAAATAGCAGTCCATATTTCATAATCTTTATTCTGCGTGTGGGTCCATGCCTGTGGCAGAAGACACACTGTGAGGATTTATAGCTTTTAGAAAGCAGCAACTCCCCAACCGCCCCTCCTCTTCCAAGCCTGGTGTCCTTGCCAGCAGGAAAAGTGGTGCACTGTTGCAGACAGATAGCATCTGATAGTTGGCTGTTGTTACCCCTCGCACGAGCGCACAGTCAGATTTCAGCTTTCTCCTCTTTATCTCTCTGCATGAAGTTAAGGTTACTACAATCTGACCGTAAAGCGTTATAACTTATAATCCATCAGTCAGTGACCCGTGTGAGTCTCTGACCCCCTTCTCTACAAACTCATTTCTGGAACAAAAATGGTGGAGTAAATCTTCCCTCTCTTTCTTCCTCTCCCCCCCTCTCACTCTCCCTTTCTCTTTACTCATCTGTTAAATGAAGCCTTGTTGGGAAACGAGCCAAAGCTGCTCACCCAGCCACAAGGACTCCAGGAAAAGTGGCGACTATATTTATAGCTGCTGCCTGCTAAATAAGGTAGAACAGCCAGCAAATGAATATTCAGTTTGAAGTGGGATTAAGCACTTTAATGCTGGATGGTAGCTCTGGAATAACATCTGGTTTACAAAGTGTCACTTTTTCCAGTAACATTTAGGTGTTGATTGTTTATCTTTTACACGAGACATGGCTTGGAAGACGTGGCATAAAATGAGACGAACCTCCCAAAGATTTGTACGGGGTCACAGATCAGATGGCCTATTTGATCTCTAGATTAATCGTGGATTAGAAATGCTTTGACATAGTGGCCAGTAATCTTCTGAGAGGGAACAAGAGAACAGATGGTGCATGATACAGTACACACAGTTTAACAATGCTGTACACACAGCACCGCTGGATAGATGTAGACCTTTCTGATATGATGGCCGAATTAACTGACAACATAACTACCGATTATTGCACTGACCTTTAACTGTTAAATAAACATGATCATCCTTCTGGTCCTGTGTACGTACTCCTTAGGGAGTCTATAGTGTGGCTTGGGTTGTTCAATATATAACATTTGTACTTAACTGTAGTTTATGAGGATTTAGGTTTACTAAGCAGTATAATCAGAATAATTTACCAAACCCGGGGCGAATTGGGTTTTATGGCAATTGCTAAAATGTCCAATAAAATGTGAATTAAAAAAGAATACAAATATGTTTATGAACATACAATGTTAAAGTAAGTATATTCAATAATAGGATCAAATAAAATATGTATATTTAAATGAAGGCTAAAAGTTAGAGTAAAACGTCCAATAAAGAATTTAATTTAATTTAAATATTGATATAAACATAAAAAAGTTAAAGTAAAATGTCCAATAAAACATTATACCACAGTATATAACATATATTTGTACAATACATACAGTGCGAGTATTATAATTTATAAGACAATATGATCCCTATGATATTCAATACTCACTTTATGACACTTGAGTCTCCTATAGACACTTATTTTTGTTTGAAATAAAAATAAAGATAATGATACAAACATAAGCGGTGAAAGTAATATGTAAAAAAAATAGAATACAAATATTAATATAAACATAAGAAGTTAAAGTAACAAATTGCACATTGTACTAAAATAAATAATGTGTATTTTACAATGTATACAGTGATATAAGTATTAATAAGATAGGAGCATTCCTATGGATTTAATAGTAACTTCATACAGTAGCAACTTTGTGAACCTTAATAAATCATCTTATAGAGACTCCCAAAGGTTCAGACTCAGCTCTGCAAATCCTCCTCCCGTCTGTGTGTTGACTGGCGGCAGTGATCTCAATCGGCTCACAGATAGCGAGGCTCCTTTCAGCGCCACGGCTGAGGCTCTGTGTGTGGGCGGGACCAACGGAGAACACCCCCCCCCCCGTGCCGCCACAGCATCGAATCGAGCAGGGGAGAGAGAATACATTCAAAGACATGCAACTGATAAGGCTCCTTTATTTATCTGTCCCCGTTATGTGAGCCCCACCGGCCTAAGTGTGCATGAAGAAGAGAAGGCGGAAGCGATGCTATAGCGCGCGGTGAGTTTATGTCTTTCTGTGTGCACGAGGAGGATTTTTGTGAAGGATTAGAAACAGATAAACCGGGCTGTGCATGACTGATCCACCCTTAATGCAGAGGAGCATCTCACGTCTTGTGCTGAATTCATTCAAGAGTGCAGGAGTGTTCCGACTCATATTATAGAGCTATAGGATGCATTTCGATTTGAGAATGTACTGTGAGATGGTTATATTGTGATTTTTAAGGACTAACTGCATGTGGTTATGTAAAATGTTATGTGTGATTTAGTTTTAGCACAGTTTTGCACGTGTGTTCATCCTATTGGCTGTGTCTGTTTTAAAACATAGCCTATAATCTCCGTTAATACGTGGATTGTTTTCCTAATTGGATACAGAGGCATTTGGCTAATCACAGCCTATAAGCGCCTTTCAAGACTGATTTATCTTAAACGATCTTATCAACTTTAAAGGTATAAAGATGCATTTTTTGCATCGTTCCAAATTACGCACAACAAAGTATCTGCGCATGTTGTTATATGAGGTTTCACGCGATAAAATAAGCGATCTAATTAGGATGCACCCTTTAACTTGGGGCTGGTGTGTGTGTCCTCTTGTTAGGGATGCTGCGGAGTGAGAGCATCGTGGGAGGAAGGCTCAGAGCGAACCTGCGGGTGGTGAAACACGAATGGAGCTGCTTCCCGCAGATGAGAGAGGCAAGCAGCGCGATCCTCCCGACGTCCTTGACCGGGTTTCCGGTGCGCTGCTGCATGCCCGCAAGTCCGGTGGATCAACAGGAGGAGGAGGGTACCCGGGGGAGGGCGTCTGTAACCCGGCCCGAGGCAGCCATGCCCGGAGTCATTCAGCACCAAGGACGGCGCCGCGCAGGGGGGGAGCGGAGGTTAAACTCGGTCACCTCGGCGAGGAGAAAGTAAAGGTGTGTTGCGACGAGGAATTAGAGACATCCTTCACTTATATCGATGAGAATGTTAACCTATGCCTGGCCAGCCCGGACACTAAACGTACTCACAGGCCTGTGCGTAATGGCGAGCCTTGCTCCGAGACTTTACCGGAGTTTTCCTTCATGTCAGAGGACGATCTCTCCTTCGGGGAGGGTCCTGGGACTTCTGTAGACTATGGCTTCATCAGTGCAGTCACGTTTTTGGTAACCGGGATCTCCTTGGTGATCATCTCCTACGTCGTGCCTCGGGATGTGGTGGTGGACCGTGACAGCGTGTCGGCGAGGGAGATGGAGAGGCTGGAGATGGAGTGTGCACGGATAGGCGCCCACCTAGATCGGTGCGTCATAGCGGGGCTTTGCCTGCTCACGCTGGGCGGCGTGGTTCTCTCCACGCTGCTCATGATCTCCATGTGGAAGGGGGAGATGTACAGGAGGAAGGTCATTGCTTATTCCAAGCGCTCAGCCAAACTGTATGGCTCCATCAGCCTGAAGACCAGGTCCAGCCCCAGCCACTCCTCTGTGAATTTGTCCCTGGAGGAGGAAATAGAGGAAACGTTGGCTTAACATGCTGCTCTGTTTATGAACATGTTGGGTGAAACAGGAATTAATGCCATTCATTCACATACATTATCTAACATAGTGTAGCCTATAACTTTATTCACACATTTATTTTCGTCTCATACTTTAACACTGTATTGTGCATCCACGTGGCCAACAGAAAAGCACTCAAATGCAAAATGGGGAATTGCAAGGAAAACATTAGGTGGTATTTTGCAGATAACGAATGTACATTTTTTCCATTAATTGTTCGGTCAACAAAATATCAGAAAAATGTGAGAAATGTCCATTTCAGATTTTCAAAGTCCAAGGAGATGTCTTTAAAATCCTTTTTTAAATTATGCCCAAAACCAAAATATGTTCACTTTAATATGAAATCACCATATTTGAGAAGTTCAAAACAATATTTGCTGCCATGTTTGCCTGGAAAAGACGTTCGATTAATCGATCATTTGCATATAACAATTACTTTTCTGTCTTCTAATCGTTGCAGCTTTATCAAATTGTTCCCAAATGATTTCAAATGGCTCAAACCCCTGAAAGACACTAGGGAGATTGCTAATAGCTTTGTGATCACTTTTTTTCTGTACCAGGAATGCAATCTCTGAGAGCTTCCATTTATTATTAAGGCTATTCATATTTAATGCGAGAAATTGTGCGCAGACACATTTCAACTGGAGAAAGTGTGTGTCTGCAGGGCCTGAGAGTGGAGGAGAGATGTAAAGCTGTCCCTGTCCACTGTGATGTGGGAGCATCAGCTCAGTGGTCCACACGGTAATATCCAGTGACAGTCCCCCTGCTACACTGCTGAGGTAAGCCAGTATAAGCCCGGATTTGTGCATCTGAGCCAATGCTCAACATCGGTTTGATTGCACTGTGCAATTTCTTCCTCCTCTCTCCTCCTCCTCACCACCTCCACACAAGACTTTCCTCCTGCAATTCTTCAATGCTCACCCCAACCTTTGTACACTTATATATTCACACTTGTGGAAAGGGTCCTGGACGACCACAGCCAAGTGCCTGTGACATTTCAACGAGCCTTTTCCTTACCTGCCTGCTCTCATCCTCTCTGCTTGAGGACAGACTTAAGAACGCCTAATCGCACATGAAAGAGTTGCCCCACTTCCCCAAAACCTTAAGTCTTCCCCACTTCAAAGAGCTAATTACATTAACACAGTGAGGTATCAGTCTCTTTCCAAGGTTATATTTGATGGTATCACGGTAATTCACCGGCTAAAATATTTCTAAAATAAAGCTTAGGAAAAGAGGTTTATCATGAGCAGACTGGGTAAAAAAAATTCAATGCAACAGTGTACAGGAAAGACACAAACAACTTCATGTAACACTTTCTATGACGGCCTTGTCTATATTGCATTCAAACTTGTGATGCATTATAATCTGCTTATAGCATTTTCTAATTACAGTTTAAAGAGTTCCTATTATGCTTTTCTGGTGTGTTATATAGGTTTTTGTGCATGTAAATGGTCTGCAATGGTTAAAAATCATAAAGTTCCCTCCAAAGGGAGTTTATCTCCCAGACACTCCCCCACTCTGGCAGTGGGGGTCTTAATTGGACTCCTCTATTTACTTTCATAACATATTGATATCACTATGTAACACTTGCTTCTATTCGCAAGTGTTCCAACATCTTGTACATGATAGGCTAAGAGGGGGGACATCTCTAAGCGGTTGACCAATCACAACAGAGCCGGCAAGCTAACCAATCAGAGCAGACTGGGCTCTGGTTTCAGACAGAGGGTGAAAAGAGGTGCTGCAGCACAGGCAGTATGAGAAAAATAAAGAGCTTTTTGAACATTAAAGCATGGAGACATGTCACAGTAGAGGAACAACATACAAATATGAACCCGGAAATGGGGCCCTTTTAGAGCACTCGACAATGATCATGACATTATAATGCATTTTTAAATGACTTTTGGTCAAGTATAGCTTACATTATATTTTTAACAAGGGTCATGTATAATAGTTCCCTTGTAGTAATTTATAATGCATTTTAATGTGATTTTTCTAAGTTACCATTGGGTGCTTGAATTAAGTTATTTCATGAAGTATAGGCAGATATAATATGTAACACACTGGTTATAACTCAATATAAGTGGTTATTATGTCTCTATTTCTAACAAGGACCATGCATAAATATATGTATATACTGTACATTCAAGAGAATAGCTGAATCAAAATCATTATATATATGCAGGAATAACACACACATAAAAAAACTGATGGAACAGCACATAACATATAACATAAGATCAAACAATTATAATTTAGAAATATTTGTATGGGTTGTAAATATTGTAAACAACATAATGAATATGTATGACTGCTACAATAATACAGTCTTATAAGCAGATTATAATGCATAATATGTTTGTTTATGATGCACTTATACATGGCTGTCATCAATATTCTTACCCACGATTTTAGCTTCTGTCACTGCTGTCTGCAGAGAATAAATAATGCCAAACAATTCTGTTGACATATTTTTTTTAAATGTCGACATCCTGTAAGGCTCATGAATCATGCATGAATCACTAGAATTAATTCATATTTGAATATATTCATGTACACAGCCAACGACAAGTTCTAATGGCTCTCATGCAGTGTCACTGTTACCGTGGTTTCTCGCCCTGTTTTATTTCCAAGGCTTTTAATGTGACCCTATTTCAAGGCTTACATTGAGAGGGACATGAGTCATAATGAGATGCGTAAGGCTGATGACTCTGTGTTCAACAGCTCAAGGCCACACCGCTGTTGCGCTTTCATTCAGTTGCATTTATTTTATGTACACTGTCACTGCATATTTTTCTAGGTGCCAGTCACTTCACAGTCAAGTGAAAAGACTGGATCACTAATGAGGTATTAATCCAGCATTATGGTTGAATAAATATGCAACTAACGCTAATGCTACCACAGCTTTTCATCTTCCGTAACCACAGAACTGACAAGTGTGTGTGCATCCCTGAAAAACATCCATTACAGTATGTTGCGAAACGGCTATAAAAGGCCCAATGAACAGATTTCCGGGAGAGGTAATAAAAATTAATGATGCATATGAGGCAATGTTGTCCTGTTCTCATTGCAGAAGCTGTAAATCCACAGCCAGTATTACAGATGTTAAAGTGATATTTCATTAAGCGAGCTTTCCTGGCGTTGTTGGCCGCTGAGACGAGGTGCAACGCCCAAACGCTGGACACACTTCCTTTTTCACACTCATGTGAAATTAAACTTGTTCTCAGCCAAAAACAACGCTACGGAGGCCAACATTTCCGTATGATTATATTGAGCGAATGAATCAAAATCTAGTAATATAACAGCTACATTGCAGATGCAGTGATTTCCATTCAGTGTCAGGGTCACAATCAGAGAGGGCATCATCTGTGAGAATGTCACACACAGAGGCTCAGAAAAGCCGTTGGGAAGCCATTCACATTGCACACTTCAAACAGGCTCATCTGCACTATGCTGTAGGTTTTCAAACATATACTATACCTCCCCCTCTTTCTTTCTGTCCTCCTCCGTGGTTGTCTTCGTGCCTCAGCCAACACCAGGCTTCCCCCTCATACAGCCAACTAAACGTGTACAGGGGATTTAATCAGGGATTTGCTCAAGCGACAGCATTTTACATGGCAAGCTCAAGTGTATTTCCAGAGGTCTCATGCATACGCTTTTTATCCTTGAGCAGTGCACAGTCAAATCACCCTTATTGATATTTGGTTGGTTCCTCCGTAAGTCGATCCTTTCAGGTAAGGCCCGGGAGCGGCTTAGCTGCTGCCATCAGCTAATTTCCCGGAGGTGTTATTACACCCCTGCATCTAGTCAATGCTTATCCTGAGTGTGCACGAGTATGTGAGTATTTGCGTCGTTGTTGTCTGCCACCTTAGATTAAGAGCTGCTGACCCTGTCAAATAGTTTCTGCGGAGACATTTAGATTTCCAAGAAGGTCTAAGTAGGATTGGGAAAAGTTATTTTCTGGAAAATGCAGACAGGCAGAGCAGGAAGCTATAACATTGGGATACTTTATAATTATAAGATTTTAGAGGGTTAAAGGCAGTAGCAGCCGCCCCACCTCTTCCCACGTTTTAGATTGTCATTAATAAATATTTAAATTTTTATTAATTTTATGAATTTTTTTGGTACATATATACTTGGTGTCAGTTAAATGTATAATATACGATAAAATATAGATTAAAATGGTTTTACAATGTCTAAAGTTACTGATAAATCACGTGTTTCCTGCTTGGGGTGCAGAAATCTTTGGCCATTGACTCTCGTTATAAGTGGCACATGCGCAGTCCACACCTCCTCAATGTAAGTGATAGGAGCAGCTCGGGGCGGACCAAACTGCGCCCAAAGCAGCTGTTGACACCGCCAACAACTAGGGGGCAGCAGGAGCACCAGAGTGAGTGATTGACGTTTGACTGACGGAGACGGAGTGTAAACAAGACTAGATAGCGAATATGGAGAAGGAAAATTATGTTTAATCACTTAAAGAAACACCCTTTGAGAGGAGGCCACTGGAGGGAAAGCTGAGAGTAAAAGAGCTCAGACCTGATCATCCTGACATCTATGAGTTAAGGACAGAGGAAGGCAGTATACATGCTCTTTTTCAAGGAGCTGGTTTAGCAAGAACTAGGCTTGGCTAACTACCTGTAGCAACACCAGTGCTATATTTAGCATCCCCTGCCTCCCTTTTCAAACGTCAGGATCAGACCAGTCTATGGACCAGACCCAGCATGGATCCAGACAGATGTGAGTGACTTAAAGTGCACCTATCATGCTATTTGTATGCATACATTATGGGTCTCAGATATATATAAAAATATAAAAACACATCTATGATGTGTTTTTCTCAAAATACAAGCAGATCATGCATTTTAGACATCCCTCATATCCCTCTATTCCAGCCCTGTTTAGAGAAACGCGGATTTTGGGTCGTTAGCTTAAAAAAAACAAAAAAACAGGACGCGGAGCTAATGCCTGATCAGAATTCTACCGGAGATAAAGTTACATTCTGCTGTGATAAAACGCTTACCACAAGGCGAGTTCCTTTTTTTTTCTTTCTGCTTTTTAAACACATTTGCTCTCCAGTACAGGTTAGCTCTGAGTGGTAGCGATGCTTGCTAATGTAAACAAATACCATATTACGTCCAAAACACATCAGGCATTGTTTCTGATAGCAACTCTCTGTGGGTCCTCCATCCGACATTACATAAAATCGGCAGCAAATCTGGATCCGCTCGTTGTACCCGTTTTTAAAAGATGTGGGTACGGAGGAAAAGAAAAGGGTGTTATTTTCTGACGCTGCGTGAGTTCCCCGACACACCGGGGACACATATTTATGTATAATCAACACAGTCTCACTCCCTGAACGTCCAGGAGTGACGCTTGGTCAGGGTCCCGTGGCGTCCAGTTGTGACGCGCCGAGTCTCCTTCAGCTTCATAAACGGACGCAAAGAGCTTTCAACTGATTGCAATGTATTCCCATCGGCAGCGGTATTTGACGCTCATGGAAACACCGCATCGGTCCATGTCGGCGGCAGTTAAAGGCAATGTGAGCGTCCATTCCCATTGGATAACGGAGGATTTTACACCCGGAAGTAAATATTATTATTAGGATGGCAGAACACTACCCAGAATCCTCAGCTATCGTTTGGGACTACACCATAGCCTCATCTCTCGACTCCTCTTTTCCAACACACTCTCACTCCCTAAGCGTCCAGGAGCGACGTTTGGTCCGTGTCCGTGGCGTCCAGTTGTGACGCTCCTAGGCTCCTTCAGCGTCATAAAGGGACGCAAATAGCTTTCAACTGATTGCAATGTATTCCCATCTGCGGCGGGATTTGACGCTCATGGAAGCACGGCATTCGTTTGTGTCGGCTGCCCTTAAAGGCAATGTGAGCGTCCGTTCCCATTGGATAACGGAGAATTGTACACCCGGAAGTAAGTATTCCTCTTACTGTCGATTGATTTTACAGTGATATCTGCACTACTCATTGACCAAAAAACACCAGATTATCCTTGTTAATTACACAACATTGATTGGTTTAAATTGTGTGCAATGCTTTTGTATTTTTTCCCCTTCGATTCGGAGAAACAAATATTTTTTCGGAGTAAAGGATGGCAGAAGACACTACACTACCCAGAATCCCCAGCTATCGTTTGGACTACACCATGTGCTCTGTTTGACAAACCCAGTGATAGTCCTCAAGCTCTGTGATTGGAGAGTGTGCTCCGAGGGTTACGCCGATTCTCGAACAGCACTTGACATGGGATGGAACCACGGCAGACTGTCCAAAACTGGATTTGAACGGGTCCACCGCGTCCCCCCCTCCCCCACCCCGTCCTCAGAACTACACATGCTGGCTATTCTGTTTCGCAACATGTTCTCTATCTATGGCACGTCTCTACTGGGAGTTGTAGTTTTAAAAGACGTTTTCGTATTTCCCATAATAAGGTGGTTGCTAGGGACGCTGCTATCGATATTATTTCTGTTATGTTGTGTAACTGTTTAATGGTGTTATCTTTATTGTTACCCCCTTCCCCGTCAATGTATAGTGTTGGTCCACAGCGCAAACATATTAGTTTAACAAAATCCGCATCTAAAGATAGCCTACGTTATTTTCCCCTGTGCAATTCCAGTCTCACATCTCACAGCACATCGTCATTAACAAATACCGGAAACAGACCGAAAACATTTAAAAAAAATAAAATAATACTTTATTCCGAGTGTGCTTGCTTTTCTCTTTGAAAGTCATCACATAACGGCATTGTAATACACGGTTCGGCTGCATTAAATGTTACATATCTGCCGTAGTTCTGTATTTATAGAGCCCTGATGAGAAGACTTCTAGACAAACATGAGGAACTGAAAACGTGACGTGGATCATAAATATATCAGCCATTAAACAACATCTTACATTTATTTTCACACAATACGTCTCCTTGCAGTATCAACACTAATTCGGCTGACTTTTATATTTGATCCAATTGGTAGATAGGCTGTATTTACACCATAAAGGTGCACACCTAATATAAAGGGACACCTAGTGGTTAAAAAATGTTATTGAATATCATTATTTTTTTCATTAGATATTAATAGGATCCAGTGGTGGGCCGTCAGGGCCAGCAAGGCCTTCTCTGCTGGCCTAAACATCATCAGAATATAAATTTAATTTTGATATATTTTTTCCACAAATATGTATTAAATTATTCCCCATCGTCTATTCTTTTCATTTCATAGCTTTACTCTTGGTTGCGCTGCTTCCAGCCTCAGAACAAGATTTGGAGGGCTGGCCTTTATGTTAGAGCTTTTATCCAATCATATTTCAGCCATAATGTGTTGCCAGGGTCCAATAAATCTGCCCTTAGGCCTTCAGAATCAACAGTGCGGGCGCCTGTAGCTTAAAGTGAACGGAAACAAAACTGTGGCGTTAACCAATCAGATTTTGAGTTGGCGACAACGGGCCAGCTAGCAGGCGTACGATGACGTCAGCACGTGCACGTCTTTTGATTGGATACGCACTATTGAGAGGCAGAGCTATGTAGAGCTAGCAAACTGAACTTGAATTTGAACGAGCTAATTTGTGTAGATTTCTACAAGCTGTTTTTTTTCAACCCACAATGGCTGAAGGAGAAGAGATCGATTTGGTCGCAGATATAATTACAACGCCATTTTCAAGACGAACTTTTCAAGAAAAGCTAGACATTGTGAGAAGAGAACGGCCAACCCCGACGCTAGCGAGCCTATCACAGCGGGGAAAAGGGTTTGTCCGCCACTTTCAAATCACTAACTACGAGCGGTACCCCTGGCTCACAGCCTCCGAGAGGCACTGCAAATTGTACTGCTGGGAATGCCTGCTATTTGCAAATGATCGATTTGGTGTTTGGAGCCACACTGGATTTGCAAACTTGAGTTGTCTAACCAAGGCAGCAACGAGACACCAAAGCACGGCTGGGCACTTACAAGCAATGGTGCTTTTGAAAACCTTTGGGGACACCCGAGTGGATCTACAGCTCAACGAAAAAGTGCGACGGGAAACGGAGCTCCACAACG